GCAGATGTTTGGATCAAATCCATAAAAAGTAGACCTGAAATCAGAACAAGGGAGTCTTCTTCTGTCAAACGTGCATACTGATGAGCTCTTCTGAAGTAGAAGTTCTACAATGAGGCATTTTATCAGGATCCAAACAGATTTCTATGACTTAACTCTCTGATCCGATACAAAGGCTCCCAGTCGATGTCTCTCGCCGTCTGTTGATTCTCCGTCAGACATTGTTTGTTTGGTTTGAGGTACTTTGAAAGGGAATTAAATCATATGTTGGAACTGTGAGTGGAATTTGGGGGTTTAAAGACTGCAAAAGCAGACTGGAATCCTCATGTGGTTCCCAGGTCTTTGTTTCCAGAGTGACAATGATCCTCAAGTTTTTCTAGGGAACGACATTTAAAAATCCAACAAAAGACCTCTCAGTTTAAGTTGGTGGCACACCTTGAAGATTTACAGAAAGCCGTATGGAAAAGATCAAGCATCTAATGCAATCAGATCAGCATGCCCCCTAACATTTAATGTCACTTCTATGTGAACTTGATCTGTAAGGCGGCGTGTCTCCATCACCGCCTGCATCAGACACACACAGTTCAGCGGGCTTCATGTAGTGAATCAGAGCAAACACATTCACATGCAAACACCAATATAACCCAGTTCTATCTGGGCAGAAGCAGACGTGAGGTATCGAGGTTAATGCTCCCCTCTCGTGTTCCCACCAGCCCAGGTAATTTTGTTATTCTGTTTGTGCCCCCTGCCTACACCCACCCCTGTCTGTTGTACATAATGGTACCGGCCCTGGGAGGAAGCAGGCATTTACTTGTACAAAACCTTGAGGAAATCCCTACCAATCCTCAGGGCTCACGTTCAGCAGCGCCCAAAACACAAAGGCTATGCAAATCTGCCCAGCCTGCGTTTATCTATCCTCGGTTTCCGTTTGCACCGCGGGAACCAGCATTGTGCCATGCGTGGCGATTATCGCGTGTAATTTACATAGAATACGCACAGGAAACAGTGTGCTGATCTCTAACAATGCAGGAAAGAGCCTCTATCGGCTCAGGAGCTATCTGACTGCACAGTAAAATTACAGGTTTAGCTGTGGGGTATTAAACCTACAAGGTGTTTTTTTTTATTTCTGCTGTTCAGGGAACACTATCTGCTCCAAATGCTGCTTGTTTATCTGCCTTGTTTGTTTTATAACCCAACTCCAGCGGCCCTTTTCCAAGAAGGCTGCATCTTCAGCTGGGCTAATCTGCCCTCTGCCTGTGTTTCCTTTGTCACTGAATCCATGTATCAACACAGCGAGGAGCAGCCAGATTGAGGAGGTGTGTAACAGCACAAAGTGTGTGTGTGTGTGTGTGTGTGTGTGTGTGTGTGTGTGTGTGTGTGTGTGTGTGTGTGTGTGTGTGTGTGTGTGTGTGTGTGTGTGTGTGTGTGTGTGTGTGTGTGTGTGTGTGTGTGTGACTGACTCAGCTGACATGAGACATGTTGTGAGTGTGAGGAATGGAAGTCATAACACTGCAGCACGGCTTCATCCATACAAAGGCTGGTACTGTAAGTACTCCATCAGGAACTTGAGACATGAGGGTGAGATGAGAGATCAAATTCCTGATGTGGATGCTTCACCTGCAGGGCTGCCAGGGGAGGAAACACAGCTTTCTGCCTACCTTTAAACAGGGATCACTTTGAGGTCACTGTGCATAATGACTCACCCTCAGTTCTTACACTGGCTAAATGTTAAAGTGGATTTAAACCCATTTCGAACTGTGTTTCTGTGTAGCCAGCTTTCTTTTGTTTGGCAAAACAGAGTTTAGGTTTGAACGAATCCAAGTGCAAACGGCTAGTCTGAGCAAAGCCAAGATCAATGTGACTTGCTGCTGTCTTAAAGTGGCTCCGATCTCCAATGTGTCTCTGAGGTTCATTAAAATGCTATTCCATAAATCCTTACACCATGTTTTTAGGTGTAACATGGGTTATAGTTATTGAAGAAATCCTGCAGGACATGAACCCTGGATAAACAGAAAGTGCTAGAGCTGCAGCTGTTCATAATTAATCGCACAAATAACCAGAAATGCCTATGTAAGTATCCATGTAATGTAAAGTTGACTGAGGTGTAAAGGTTCATAAAAATGTTCACGCGGAATGCTGTGAAACTGTGGAGACTGGAGAGGTTTTAAAGAATTAAAAGAATTTTGTATAGACTGTGCTTTGACTAGCTGATAGCTCACCAATCCAGAATATTTACTCAGTCTGTTTGGAAGGCCAGTAAGATACTAAACACACTTCTATTTGCAAAAAACAGACAGAAAGGTACTTTTAGGGCACTTTTCTACAAAAGAGTTCTGATGTGTTTACATCAAGCACCCATGATTTTGCAATGAAATTGAAGCCAACAAGGAAGTGGCAAAAATTGCAGTTCCACCCTCATCCACTAGGGGCTGGCCACTGAAGTGAGCAAATCCTTATCGACTCCCATGTTAAAAAAAAGTCAATTTCATAGCAGAAATAAACATGTTTACTGCCTGGTTCCAAATTTTTTTTTTTTTTTTTTGGTTTAATAGATCTAGTTTACACTCATGACAACTCTGAGAGGGGTGAATTTTTGTGTAACTCCTCCGTTCAAGTGGAATTTACTGCTTAAACATCTGAATAATTGAGCATCAGAGCCACGTGACTTCAGAGCTAACTCTGGCGTCAGCCTCAGGTTAATAGATGTTTGGCCATTTTGACTCTCTGAACTTTAGTTTTGTCTGTGTGTTCATGTTTGGATGTTATTTATGGAATTATTTGGACACAGAGGGTGAGCTGTGGTTACTGACCGCACCAACGGCTCATCCATGCGAGCATTTTTCTCGCTAATAGTTTGCTGGTTGAAAGGGGGAAACCATTGTGCGTTTACCATAACACTGCTTGGTCTAAGATGAGTTGAAATGTAATGTGTTGGTGTTGCTGCTGGGTAAGAAAAAGTAGAGCTACATATCTGACCGAGGATGGCGGAGGACATGGTGCTTCGCTGTTTCACCGTTGTCAAAGATCTGCGAGTCCACACTTGTCAACTCAAGTCTCGGTTCCGTGGGGCATCAACACAGCAGCGGACTCGTAGATCTTTGACCGTAGTGAACCAGCAAAACCTGATATTCTCGGTCAGCTGACCTAGTTATGATTTTGTTACTAAGAAGGCTGGAGGTGCCTTCACTTTGGGATTGCTCTAACGCAATTTTCTGGTTAAAAATACCCCCCAAAAAAAACTCCATTAGCTTCGGGTTAGCATGTAGCTAATGTCCCGCTAATCTCCGATCATGGACAAGAGCTGACATAAAAGGCCATGGTGCCCAGCTACGATTGCAGTGGTCTGAGGCTCCACTTGTAATTTAACAGTTCCAGTCCATAATAGATCTCCACAGGTGACCAGCATGACTACAGCCTCGCACGGAAGCCAGTCTGCCACAAGGGTGGGATACCCCGAAGCCCTTCTTAGTTTTGGATTAGCTAAGTAGCTACATTGGTTCCACCCTCAGCTCCACCTCTTTTCCCATCTTTAGATTGTCTGGGTATGACGGGACGTGTGTCACGGTCAAAATGATGGTGGCCGGAACCACCCATTTGGGAACAAAACCTTATAATTCAAGCCTATGGACATGAATTGTCCAGTATATATGTTGATAGCTTACATTTGGAACTTAAGAATATTCAGCTAAAAATGTTAAATGTGTGGATAATTTGTTCAATCAGTACATTTGCAGCGGTCTCTAGTAAAAGTGAATGCCTTTAATGTCACACTCTGGGAAAAAAAATGCTGTATGCGCCCGTTTCAGGTACTAGAAGTGAGCCTCATCAGAGCTGAGATTCAGACGGGATGATTTGAAATTGTGTTTCCTGATATTCTGACATCTTGCAACACGACTCTAACAGTGACTCAGTTTGCTTAGCAACATTGATGTTTTTTTCCCTCAAATAACACAAGCCTGGAGTTCTGCTGTGTGGTGGGGTTGCTAATGCTAATGGTTAGCTTTTACTAATGGAGACTTTCTCAGCTGTTTCCTGGACAATAAACCAATGACAGCCTTCCCTGTCGTGAGTCAAGATGGGTGAGTATAAGTGTGACGTGGGGTTAGGGTTTCATCTGTCAGGCTTTTTAAGTCCTAGATTTTCACTGACTGTTTTCTATCAGGAGCTAATGCAGGAGACAGGTGTGGGAAATTGCTTTCATGTTAATCCTGCATGAAAAACTCAGAGTGACCAGTTATAATCAGAATTTTTTTTATGGTTTTTCAGTGTTCCGCCTGGTGCTACTAATGCAACAAGATGGTTAAATGTTGCTGTGTTGGTCAAAAAGACCCCACAACTCTCTCATATGTTCTACAGTAAACAACAATTTCTACGTTTAAAAAAATGAAACCAGTTAATGAAAAGACTTTCTCCCAAAGTCCTGTTTGTTTGACCTTTTATCAATTTTTGAGCCCGTGCTTTTTTACACTTTGGGTTCAAATAATTGATGTTAGTCTACTCTGCGTTAAAAAAGTTTTGAAAATAACCTCTCTGTTGCCAAGCATCACGTCTGCAGTCACCCATCTGCTTCACTTCCAAGAAGAAAAGAAAAAAGCACACTGCCTTCATTTATATAACAGATTCTTTCAAAATGGCTCTAGTCACAAGCCTAGCATGAGTTTCTCACAGCACAATAGAGACCCTCGCAGGCTTATCATCCCAGTTAAATTTATCAGTTTAATCATCAGCTGTATGATGTGGCTCAGTCATCAGTTACAAGTATGACACAAGTGACTTTCCCACTTGGAAGCAGGCCTGTAACAGCACAAGAAACATTTTGGAATGGCACTTTTGCTGTGTCTACGTTAGGAATAACCATGAAAAGGAAATCCTGTTACACTGGGTAAGGATTTGACACGGATGTGAATGCTTTAATTTGCCCAAGAGCTAATTCTACAGAGCTCTGACTTATCCACGTTGAGTTTGGTGCACCGCCGTGACAAAAGAACACACAACCACATATATACGACTGTTAACAACTGCTTTGGGGTTTATTTTACAATTGAGAAAGAAATCAAACAAACTAATTAGTGCTAAAAAGTTTTGTCAGGTTTTTAAAACAATATTGTCAATAAAACATTGAAATATATAGTCATTGTGCATCGCTTATTTATTTTTCCACACCATTTCATGCACCAAATTGGATGCAAGTATAATTAAAATCATTTCTGTAAACTGAGCCAAAGAAGCTTAATTTGTATCTTCTTTTAAAAAAAGGACATTTTGTAGCTCTACAGCATATATCTATGTACACCATCTGTTTTTATTTGTATTTTTTTTTATAATTTTTGTATATAAAATGACAATATAAAAGTTAGAGAATGCACACACCTTAACATACAAAGAATGTTGAGCCATTTCAAATGGGACGATATGTCTTATGGAGCACTGACTTTTCACTGGTGGTCATTTACATGTAACGGACTGATCTCTTTACAGCTGAAAGTGACACAATTTAGAAAGAGAAAGTTGTAACAAACCATACAACTGGAAAACTGCTAGAAAGTGAGACTTCACAGCAAAGAAATGTTTGTTTGTCTTTTTTTTTTGTTTGAGCAAACTTGCATACAAATGGCCATCACTTTCATTGATTGACTGAAAACAAGAAGCAGCATTTTCCAAATGATCTTTTTTTCCCTCCAAACACTGACAAGTTTAATTGTCAGGCCGTTTATCACCTAAAGCCATTGTAGTGACAGAAAACCAAGGAGACGAGTGGGGAGGGCGGGAATGAGAATCCTTGATTTTTTTTTTCTTCAAATCAGGTTTTGACAAATGTAAGAAGTTCTCTTCACAAATTCAAAATTTAACTGTCTAAGGTGCTACTGTACTTCGGTCTTTCGGGATATCCATTCACTCTTTTGGCGTATACATTTAATGTTTATCATCAAGTATTTTACAGTTCTCTCATCTGCTAATTCTTCCCACTCACTTTCACCGTCGAAGCAGTAGTTGTATTTTTTGCAATGAAAAGATTAAATCTCGTCTTTAACCTTGTTTCACTAAAATACATGCACAGATCAGACAAATAGCATATAAATATTTTACAAAATAAGTGTAAAAAAAAGCTTGGCAAAACAAAACAAAAAAACAACATCAAAAGAAATGGTCCAGTCAGGCAGTTGTCACAACTAAAAATAGTAAGACTGAAATTTCTCTCATTTTTTTCTGGCGGCTCAGTTCGGCCCAGTGCAGTAACTGTGAACAAAGTCATTTTAGTGCAATGAAATTCTAGTCAGTTCCACAGCTGTCAGTCTCTCCCCTCAGCAGCTCACGGACTTGCTTGATTAAACTTTCTCCATTTTGTCGAGCTTCTCTAGTTTCTCCAGAGCAGTGACAAACACCAGGTGGTCCTCCGGAGACTTGCCGTGGGTCTTGCTAAGGTGCAGTTTGACTGCGTGTTTGCTGACAAATGTCCGATTGCAAAGTCTGCACTGGTACACGGAGCCTGTGTCGTCCTCTGGTGTGGTCAAAGCTGACAGCGGGCTGCCGAATGTCATTTTGTCTGTGATCACCTTTGAGACAGCCTGCTGCTCTCGTAGGTGCTCCGCTGACAGTTTGGACAGGTCCTTCAGGCTGAAGCCCAGGTGAGACTCCAGGTGGCTGATGTAGGAGGAAGGAGTCCTGAACTGAGAGGCACAGTCACCACACAGGAACACTGGCTGGCATGAGTCTATGTTCTTGAGAAACTTGGTGCCCCCAGTCCGTCTCAGCTGATACTTCACATTAGCCAGCCAGTGAGATATGGTTGTCATGGAGAGGCCTGTGAATTTACAGATGTGGACCCTTTCTTGAGGGCCCAGGTCAGTCATTGCGTAACGACCCTCTGGGGTCTCCCTCAGGCTTGACGCAAACTGTGCCTGCAGGATGAGGAGATGCTGAGGATTCCAGTTGGACTGCCTCCCTTTCCTTTTCTGCACCGGAGAGAGGTCCTCCAAGGCATCCTCAAACGCACTGCCGTCTGCATCGGACTTCTCTGAGATAGACGAAGGGGTGGAAGATTTTGGCGTCAGCCTTCCTGTGAGGTTTTTTACCATATCTGAAATGTCCATCAAAGCATTCTCTCTCAGAGGAGAGGAGATTGATTCAGAGAGGGAAATAAGAGGCTTGTTGCCGTTGACACTATTATTGGACAAGAGCACACTGCTGCTACTGTTGGTGCTATTGGTAGCAGACTTGTTTTTACTCAGGTCTATGGGCTGGTCGTTGTTTTCATACAGGTGATAGTGGTTGATGGGCTCAGCTGACTTGCCCTGAGCAGTTGGGTTGAAAGCTGGTTTATCCATCATGCTGTTGCTGATTTTGTAAAGCATAGACAGTGGATCTGCAGCTGGGCTTACCGATTTGGAAGCCTTTCCCAGATGTGTGTTCATGATTGACTGGAGTGCGCTGAGAGGGTTGATGAAAGGACTTTCGGGTGAGTGATCAGTGATAATGCCAAGACTGTTGCCATTGGTTATCGGAGATTGACATGCCTCAGAGCCACTCTTTGAATGGCTGTTGTGGCCGTCCACTAGGCTCTCTTTGGGCTCCTTCTTACAGACAATCTCCGAGTCTATATTACCTTGACTGACACTGCTCATGCCAGATGATTTACCTACAGAAAGGTCATTTGGAGATGGTAATTGCTCTCTCTGCTCTCTCAGTGCAGGAGAAGGGGATTTAACTAAAGATGGAGGCCTGGATCGCTCCAGACTCACCATCTTCTCCTCCTTTTCTTTCTTCACAGTGGCAGCTTTACCTGTCACTTTTTCCACAAGCTCCTCCATGGCAGTGACATTGCTCCTGAGGGGAGTTGGGGAGGAAGGGCTTCGAGGGGAGTGGATGACCGAGTTAGGGTCACCCACGAGACCTCGTAGCCCACTATTAAACATCGGCTGCATCTGGACACTCTGGACTGTTGGCGGCAGAACAGTAGCTGAATTCTTCATGGCACCCTGCAGCTGGTAGGCTGCATGAATGCTAGGGTAACCACCCCAAGTGGGTGTGCCTGTCTGGGCCTTGCTGATGGCGCTGGATACAGTGTTTTCAAGGGATTTAAGAATATCCAAACCCTCCTTAGGTGTCTCCTCTAGATCTTCTTCTCTAAGGTACTTATAAGACTTGGTTTCAGTTTCTGATTTCTCACTTAAATCATCTTTCTCCTCTTTAATTTTTCTCTCCACTAGCTCACATCCTTCCATTTTTTCATCCTCAACTCCTTCTCGCTTTTCTTCTGAGCCAGAAGACAGTGCCGGGGACACTGGCTGGGACTTAACGCTACTAGGAACTGGGAGTCTAGTGGTGGTTGGTGGTAGTGGGATGGACTGAATCTTTTCTTCCACTACTGGATCAAACACCAGCTGCTTGCCCTTCTTGGATGCAGAGTTTGTGACCTTCAGAAAGTGACCTGTGACCATCATGTGGGCAGTCAGTTGTTGTAATGTGTCATGTGAGCTTCCGCACTCCATGCACTTGAGGATTTGCGCTTTGCGAGCTTCAAACTGCCACGTGTAGCTGGCACCATTTTGGTAGCCGTAGCGATTGTTTGGCGTTACATATGGGTTAGCTGCAGCTTTTGCGTCTTTGCCTACATCCCCAAGAGAAACACTACCACCCCCGCCAGCATGAAAAGAGTCTGGGGAGCATGGGGAGACTATAGCATCTTGAATAGCACGCTTTTTAGCTGAAGTTGGCACCAGTTTAGTAGCCAGGGCTGGCACTGGTTCTTTGAGAGGCACTTTCTGGTAATGCTTGGTCTTGATCATATGAACGCTGAGATCTTGTAGAGACTCAAAAGAGTGGCCACAGTACATGCACTTAAGAACTTTCTGAGCATCCTCTTTCCCTTCCATCTCCATCAAGGAACGCTTGCGTGGTTTGGACCAGCGCTTCCCCTGATCCTCCTCTTTGTCCTTGTTGTCATCTCGATAGTGGCCCGTCTCATTCATATGGACGGTCAGACCCACCAGTGTGTCATAGGCAGCACTGCAGTCTTTGCAGCGAAACTTACTTGCTCCAGTAAATACCGAGCCATACAGCTTGTTGTTTTGCCGGTAGAGCTGCACTGTGCTAAAGAGGCTGGGTTCAGGTAAAAGGTGGTAGGGGGTCTGCTGGAGAGTTTTTGCAAGTGCTGCCTGGTGCCAGTCATAGGCCACACCGCTACCATTGCTGGCCCCACCGCTGCTGCTCCCACTGCTGCTGGTTGCGCTGTGGTTGCTAGCAGAGCTAGCTGTTGTGCCATTCGTATTGGCACTCAGGCTGCTTGTGTGGTTGACAGTGGGGGTGGAGGTTTTACCATTGTGGTGACTACTAGCCACGTTGACCCCACTACTTTTGTTTGTGGTAGTAGTTGAGATAGAGGAAGCAGGTATAGGCTCTGGGGTTGAGAGTGAAGTGTTAACACTGCCAACAGCAGCAGTAGGTTTAGATTTCATGATGTCCATTGTAATGCTAGACCAAGAGGCATCAGAGATGAGATTTGCATAGACGGCTTTCATCTTTGCCAGACTATCCTGGAAAGACAAGCCGTTGTTGGGACGGAAAGGCAGAGCAAGGCCTTCCCTCTCCTGGCCGTCCCTGGAGGGGGTGCTCTTGAAGTCCGCAATTCGGTCACTAGCATCACTGAGTGGAGACCCATATCCGGCATCGGGGTTAGTACCATTGCTGAGTGGAGAGTCTCTGTAGCTAGGGGCCTGGCCTCCATCCACATCTTCCTCTTCCTCATTGCACAAGAACTCAGTGTCCTGGCCGTCTAATGAGAGGCCATCATCCTGCAGGTGCTCTTCCTCATCATGAGAGGCTGTCTTAAGCTCATCTTCAGGCATGTACGCTGGAACACAGAGAAAGAGAGAGGAAAAAGAGGTCAGCCCAGTCAAATAAAACATTTACAGCACACTAACAGGACCACCGACAAAATCACACACCGAATGAACACTCAGTGGTAGAAACAGTAGGCTTTTATTCTTATCCAGTATGTGCATCTGTATGCAAGCATGCATGAGTTTGTGCTTTTTACACACACACACACACACACACACACACACACACACACACACACACACACACACACACACACACACACACACACACACACACACACACACACACACACACACACACACACACACACACACACACACACACACACACACGTACACAGGCTGTGATGAAAAAAGGCTCAAAGGAAAAAAGGTAAACTAATCACTGAGCTATGGACAGTTGTCCTTTTCTTTTCTAACTTTCTATTCTTCCTCACATGTCTCATGTTCCCCAGGAAACAACTGGCTTTACGGCCTTCCAGCTGCACGCTTACATATTCATTTTATCCTTTCTGTCTTCCCCAAGCTTCACTGCATCTCACTCATTTAGTCCGTGGATCTCAGCTCCTAACACTTTAAGGTTATGAATCCAATCGGGGATGAACGAAAAACCAGAGCGCCACTTTGGAGGAGGTGTTTCTAATCTAGTCTTATGAGATGGATGCCCTTCCTGTATCAGCTATACATTTGAGCCAACATTAGAGCCACAATGCTAACAAAAGTACAAACTGAGAGACTGATATGTTAAAACTGAAAAAGAGAGACTTGTACATTTTTGTGACTGCTCTAACTAGTTAAGAAAGTCAGCACCAGTAAGCAAGAGAGTAAAGAAGGGATAACAACCAAATGAGACGATGATGCAGTGAAGAACGAAAAAAGTGAGCTGGAGGAGGTGGAGAGAATGGGGTGTAAGAGAAAAGAGAGAGAGGAGTAGGAGAGTGAAGCAGGGAGACAGGAAAGACAGCCCCCTAGTTTCTTCCTTTATCTCCTTCCTGCATGGTGAGATGTGTGTCCTAGATGCCAGTATCAGTCTCTCCTGATGAAACAGATGTGCTGTCAACTTCAAACGGCACGCTAACCTGTCACATCATAATCTAAGTGGACATAATACCTGATATATATACACTGGCACCATTTACTGCTGCCTGAGAGGAGATGGGTGGAGGAGGTGGGGGAGGTGAGCAGCTGTACTATCAACTGTGACTGCATGATGATGCGTGCATGTGAGTGCCTCTTTAAGCACCAGCTTTGCCTGCACACTTCCCTCCCCATGCCTATGTATTTTGCAGCTCGCATGTATTTGCTTTTACATCGCAGAGCTGAAGCCAGCAGCCATAGTGTCGCCTATAAGTTTGAGTTTGTTGTGCGCTGCTGATACATCCCCTTCCCAAATGAGCAACACACTCCCCTAACACATGACAAGATTTCTGTGAAATGAGAGCACTACAGGAGAACCTGGCTGTGCTTCAATCCATCTGACAGACTGAGACCGAGACAGTTTCTAAAACTCCTGAAAATCCCTAACACAGCAGATTAGCATTATGCGCTGTTCTCTCTACAACGCATCTGCAGAGTGTCTCCTGTTACAGTGCCTCTCCTCTCACTAACACTTTCAGAGGGGCAGGCTATCAACATGTTTATTACACCTAAACCACTCTGCAGAATGGCTATCCGTTTTTTTACAGTACATACTGCAGGAATTACCTACGTGAGTAATTCATCTGTGGCCCGAAAACAGCCCAACACACACACACACACACACACACACACACACACACACACACACACACACACACACACACACACACACACACAGAAGGAGAGCAGTTGGAGAAGCAGCAGATCAGAACTATCCCTGGGTGAGTGACAAAACACAGACTGCAGTAGGGAGGGGCTTCGAACGATGAGCAGGTCGCCAAGGAACCCTTTGACGATCCCTGTCAATCAATTTCTGTCCTGCCATGTTGGCATGGAAACAACAAAGAGGGAGATATCAAAAGCACACAGACAAAAGACTGGCAGACACAGACATCTGTAAAAATCACAGGCAGCCAGTGGACGGTTTTGCACACCATAAATGTACAATATTAGGGATGAAATGCGGCTAGCGTGGGTCTGATCACTTCATCTGCACAAAAAGATGCTGCGTGTCCTCAGCCAGGATGCCAAAAAAGAGAGGAATAAAGATGAGAATGTGTTAGGAGCTTCACATCAGCTCAATCAGCATGACTTGAAGATGCGTATTTCTGACTGGCGAGCAGATTAAGCTCCCATTCTCTCGTCCTGGATGCACATATGCGGAGCAACACCGGCAGTGGAGGGGCGGGCTCGGGAAGAGGTAGGGGGCTGGCGCCCCGTCCCCGGCGGTTTGGTTTGCAGAATGGGTGATGCCTGTGAGCAGGGCCATCTGCACTGGCGCCAAAGCGCCTGTCACTTTTGCTCGGGGACGTGCCGCCATCAAGAAGACAGGCAGCTGCGTGGCCAGGATAAGACTGCAGTCTCACTGTCAGAAGCTGCAGCAATCAAGCCCACCAGCAGCCACGCCAGATCACCACCAACACACTCAGAGGAAGCAAGAATTAGCACCCTGATGTCACCGATCTCCATGTACCCTGCGTGTAAAGCTGATGCAGTATTAATAAAAAGGAATCTTAATTAGAATAAGCACTAAAGGAGTTTGAATTAGCCTCTGTGTGCATTGCGAAGAGCTCTTATAAAAATGAGTACCACACAGTAATGTTGGTACTTAAGCTCCACTGGGTTTTGTGTCTTAGGCTACAGAAATAACCAACTTTAGACGACAGACACAACTTTTAGTACAAATGAAAGCTTCATTAGAACTCAAGAATGTCTTTTCTTATTCTAATTTAAATGAAAATGTTCCTGAAGAACTACCCAAATACTGCACCACCAACCACCCTTGGATTGTAATTGATTTTATTGATAATAAAAAAAAGGGGAATCTACTGAACACATTTGTTTTTCTACATTTAGATTTTGTGAGGAGGTGCAGGGATACGACAGGACAGAGCAACTGCAGCTTCCCGTGGTAAACTATCAAATAGGACTTTTATCACTTTTATCTGCAAAACGCCACCGGTAAATGCCTCGATTTCAACGGGATGGATCAGTTCTGAAGCCTTTTCTCTCGTAAGCAATGCATGACTTGATTTTTGTAAATACACCAACTAAAACACTAGACTCATCCACATTTTCTGGCAACGAGCAAAGCAGAAACACATCGCTCCTTTTCAAAACTTTGCTATCTCCCCTCCCTTCCTCCCCGATTTTTTGTTTTCTCCCTTTTCTTTGCTGAGAGTCTGCTGGTTGTTAAATCAATATAAGTCTCTGTCAGGCCCGAGGAGCTTCACCATTTGGCCGCTGTCAAAGCCAAACAAACCAGATAAGAAAGGCAGGAAGGCGATGAGACGAGAGTGAAAGAGAGGGAGAGAGAAAGGGAAAAGATGGGAGTGAATCTGTTAGGCTTCCCCTCACCACCACCTCCTCCACCAGCCACGTTTCTCTGACACCCCTCCTTCTATTTATTTACACACATTTCTTTATTTATTTGATGTGGGTTTGGGAAGAGGGGGCAATCACTGCAGTCATTTGCGGCACTAATGTCCAATCACGCACCCCTTCACTCATGTGATTTAGGCAGTGCAGGAGTGGGCCTGTGGCGGGGAATACTGTGTGTGTGGGGGGGGTGGGGGGGGGTGTAGGTAGGTGTGGGTTTGAGGGGGAGGCGGGCGGAGGCCGTTTAGGCTGGCCTCTAATAGGAAACTGGCAGTCTTATTCCTTCCCCAGATTCTGTTTGTCACCCCGCTCTCCATTACGTGCCTCTCAACCCTGATGGCTTTGGACAGGAGCTGATCAAAAAGCCATCGCTTGACCCTACACGCCGTGGCAGAATGAGACTCGCGCCCGGCACAGGCAGAGGGTGAGATGAGACGCAGCGGGAGAGGGAGGCGGGGTGTATGTGAGTGTATGGTGCAGGGAGGAGGAGGAGGAGGGAGGCGAAGGAGGGGGGCGATAGCTCTCGGGCTGGGACAAGAGGGCTGTAAATAAAATGACATTATTATTTCCTCTGTCCCGTCATGTAGAAAAGCCAATTATGGTAATGCTGCTGCCGGCGTGTCAGAGGGAATGCTGGGATGTGCTTCCCGTGAAGCGGCTAACATGAGAGCAATGCCCTGATCAGGAACACGGGCCCGGTCTGACAAGAGAGTGAACAGATAGGGAAACGAAGACGAGGAGGAGGGAGAAACAAAAGAGCTCGGCTGGCTGTGTGGGCCTCCTTTTCCACACCCATAAATACCGAGCCATCTGCGACAGGGATAAAGGATAAAGATCCGGAGTCGGGACTTTGATGTGTGCATTCACGCTGTCATAATTCGGCTGCACTGAGACGAGGAAATCTCTGTTGTTAAAGAAAAATCAACAAGTAAGAAGGAAAATCTACGAGGATGAAACGTTTTGCTCCCCTAATACGAAAAAGATGAAAAGCTATCAGCAGAAAGGGGCACCCACCACACCCCAGACTTCGATGAGATGAATTATGCAAAGACAACGAGGAAAGAGCCGGAAATTGAGGATGAATCCGATCATTTACTTTAGGAGTTAATTCATTCTCAATCTGGTCTTAAGGCTTCTACCGCCTCGCTCCTCTTGGAATTCCTCCCGCATCTGATGGGAGAGCTTTCCTTTGCTACCTTTCACTCCCCTCCTTTCTCCTCGCCCCCACCCTGCCCTTCTCTTCAGCCTCGCTCACACGCCCACATGGGCCCCTCCCAAGCGGAATAATGGGAGCATATGGCCTAGGCAGTACCTACAGGGCCTTAAATAACTGCTGCAGCATTCCAGCTCGCTGTACCAATTTATCTCCCACCCACCTCTGCACCCCCCATTTCAAAACACCTCTAGTTGAGCTGGGCAGACAGCGGCGGATGGGACATGTTGTTCTTCAGACATACAGCCACATAACCCACTGACGTAGAAACAAGTGCAAACAGGA